TCATGAAAGTACATCAACGAAAAAAATCTTACAGTTATTTATGATATAATGGTTTGAGTGACCATACTTAAACCGTGAAACTGTACAAAATCTAAGTAGTAGAGTACAAAAACTAAAACTGTGCAACATAAATACCACCAAATACCACTTAATTATGCTAATTCTATTGTTTTCTATTGTTTAATTAGCACTATTTTGTAATAAAATGTTTTGCACGCTGTTAGTGTTTCTACTCTACTATTAAAAATTGTACTAAAAATGGACCTGAAGCAAGATGTTATTGAATGCTTCATTTGTATCAATTCAATTTACGTACTGCATGCACGAACTAAGTAGCACTATTTAGTTTGTACAGTCAAACAATTAAACAGCTGAAGTTAAGAATTAGTGTTGACATTTTTATTTTTATTGTAAAAGAAGCCAAAAAAAAGTGAATACTCGATATTATTTACTGGTTCGCCAGTGAATACATATTCACTAAATTGGTGTACTGTCACCTTATTACACTCAAATTTGCATTTTCTTTTGTGTCTAAATTGACTTTCTCACACACCAGTGGGAGCTTATTGTCTAGCTGACTACTGCCAAAAACGCTCTTTTATTAACAAATGACAACTCAATGACTACTCGGTACAAAATTCTGCAAGGGTGGGCGGGCATTGCCCGAGTGAAATCGTAGTCGATGGCGGACAGCGAAAAAGCAACTGAACTAAAACCCTCCACTTTTTTCGTTCCTCAGTCAATGGAAAATACAACATATTACAATTTTATAGTCAAATGTCCTTTCACAAGTGAAATGACTTTAAAATAATAAACAATATTTTTTCAGATGAAATTAATCACTTTGCTGTGAGACAAGTTGGGCTGATGTAGTAATACTGGCAACATGTTTGAGTTTTGTTGCAAAGAGTAGAACCATCTTCTACTTTCTGTAGCAAACTTTCAACTTGCAACAAAATAACTTGCTGCGAAAAAAAGTTGGTTCACCTCTAGTAAAACACACAACATTGCTTTCCAATGTTGCCACAAAAGTTGTACAATTTTGCTGCTCATATTACCGTACCTTAAGATTTGGTTCACTTTACACTGCAATCTTCACACAAAGAGGGTTGAATTACAGTAGATAATATTTCAAATCCAGACCTGATTTTAAACTCTACCTAACTTAAGTTGTGAATACTACAGGCAGTCATTTTCTGCTGGGATACCTAGTGGTCATGCGCATTATGTAAATCATTCTATTACCACCTCACCTATCTTCCTGGTGTTCAGTTATACATGCCTAAATACCTTTTTATACTTTCTACATTTGCAATTCCTATAATAACGCTGTTGAAGTCTGAAATAATCAAGCATGATTGGTACCAGTAATCAACTTTATTCAGTTTTATTTACTTTTACAATATTGACTGCATTATTGTGAGTTTTCACACTATTTTGATTTAAAATCGAAAAACTGATCATGCAATATAAAGTTCAAACATCTCAATATATAAAATTGAACTCCATTGTCTGCAATCGTCAATGCTGTGTACTAGGGACAGTTTGAAATTCTACCTTGATTTGATTCTTCTATTCAAGGAATCACTTTTACCAGTTAACATTACAATAATTTTCAACACAACAATGCTTTCTAGTAGTTCTATTCATTTACTTATAGTTTTGCTGATGGGTTACACAAGAGCTCATATGCTGGGATAGTCAGAAATTCCTCCATTTCTTCACTCAATACCAACTTCTCTAACAGCTGAGAAGCTTGACCAAGACGGCCATTGGATGGACCACCAAGCTTTGCTAGCTCTTCCTCATGTAGGGTTTTGAACATTTCTGCTGTAAATGTTTTACCATCAACATTACAGCCATGTCTAAGCCATTGCCAAAGCTGAGCTCGAGAGATTTCTGATGTTGCTGCATCTTCCATCAAATTGTTAATTGCAACAGCTCCAATGCCCTGAATAGCAATAGAAAATACATTATTTAATAAACTAAAGATTTCAAAGGAATTCAATGATTTTCTTATCAAATTCATTAATAATTCATAAGGTAAACACAATGGAAAATCATTGCYGTGAACCGCATCTTTATATGAGCAAGAGATTTGTCCTGATTTRCATACGACTTTAACTATAAATGATCTTTTATCCTGAAGTTTTTTTCAAAATATGCTTTACCTTATGTTGAAATTTGATAAGCAATATAAAAAATTTGCGTCCGACCTTTATGGGCTATAAAACTGCTCGCAGCTCGCAGTTTTAAATGCCCATAAAGGTCTCCCGCTCATATGTTATATATCACATAAAAATTCTAAAATCCAATAAATATATTAGGTTGTATGAAAACTGAATTATAGCTGGTTATTTATAACTTTGATTTAAGTCAAGGCTTAGTCCTTGTTAGAATTTGGGATAAAATTAATATATCCAAAAACTAAATGAAACCAGAGACTTCCATCACACAAGGATAGCCTGGAAATGAACAGCATTGCACTCACAAAATTATTAAAAGTAGTGTTATTTAAATTATCAATGACATAAAACATAATTYGTATGGCAGCTTTTACCTTTAACCAACAATTAATGTACTGGAGAGCAACAGAAATGTTAGTGCGGACACCATCTTCAGTGATTGTACCTCCTGGTACAGTGATGGTAGTCAAYTCTTCCACTTTGACATTCACATCTTCCCGTAAACGATGCTTTTGATGACAGCGACCTTGGTGACCTTCCATGAAGATTTCTTTTGCAACTTTAACCAAATCAGGATGAGCAACCCAGGTTCCATCAAAGCCATCATCAACCTCGCGCTGTTTGTCTTGCCTGATCTTTTCAAGTGCAATTCTATTAACCTCTTCATTGCGACGGCTTGGGATAAATGCAGACATGCCACCCATAGCATGAGCCCCATGCAAGTGACACACCCTTACAAGACGCTCTGTGTATGCGCGCATAAATGGTACAGTCATGGTAACCTGCCAAAGGAATATTAACATATCAGTCCAAAACAATATTATTATAAGTGCATCATATGTCTATCACTGTAAAGTAAGAGCTTTTCTATCATGCTTGTTTTCTAAAATATCAAGGATGTGTCTGTTTTCTAAAATCCCATTAGGGAAAACATTTTGGACGATTTATCACAATTTGAAAAAACAGCACTTTAGACTCGGCATATTTATGAATTCTCCTATCCTTCAACACCATTCTATGGAAGTTAAATACTAAATTACATTTTGCATTTACCTGCTTTCTATCAGGGAAAATAGCATCTTGTTTTATCTGAAACCTCTTGATTATACTGAAGATATAATCCCAACGACCAGCATTTAAACCACAACAATGATCCCGTATCTCATAAAGCATTTCTTCCATGTTAACAGCAGCCAACAGTGTTTCTATCATGACTGTCGCACGGATTGTACCTGTAAATAGCATGCTTAATTTTAATTGGGTAAATACTACACTGCTCAAAGTTACATCTGCAGTTACATGTATAGTCAGCTAACATTATTGACTATTCTTAAAATTCCAGTACATTTGCAGGGAACGGCCTTGAATCTATGTGTAAATTGATTGTTTATTGTATCATTTTCTATCCTTGGAATGAGGCTATTCCCACCTGTACTATAGTCAAAAACAGACAACCTCATAACCATAATGCCTCAAATAGCATACGTTTGCTATGAAGAAAATGTTTTCAGTATTTCTTTTGAGTTGGGATTTGTCCATAATAATTATGTGTACAAAATCTTGGGGTTTCAATTCTACTTATACTATTATTGTACTGCAATGATAAGTAAGAATAATAAGTAATGCAGCTATCATCAAGTATYTACCTTGTGGAACTTGAAGATAGTCTTGAGCYGCCCGGAATACATCATTCCACARGCGTGTTTCCAAATGTGTCTCCATCTTYGGCAAGTAGAAATATGGAGCAGTTCCTTGATTGAGTCGCACTTGCAAATTGTGGAAAAAGTARAGACCAAAGTCCACTAAAGCACCAGCCATTGCTTCGCCATCACACATAATATGACGTTCCTCCAGATGCCATCCTCTCGTCCTTACAATCAATGTGGCCACTTTGTCTTTAAGCTTGCGAACTGAACCTRTTAGATTTAAAAATTGATTTAGCATGTATTATTTTTGACCAATGTCAGTAATTTTTAGGATTACATAATAAAGCATTTTTTATATTTTCAATGCCTTGCAATCATTTMTCTCTCATTTGTTACTGCACTTCCCGAGCTCATTTTCTGGTCTGAACCAAAGAAAGAGACAGTRTGGAGTTAATGGCTATGAGGGCCGAATAACCCTCAAATCCATGTTTAATAATGAATAAAACCCATATCTGACCCTCATTCCCATTTTTACAGTACCATTTAAAGGATACAGTTGTTAGTATATTGTTTCAGTGCATAGTATTATTATTTTGCTTACACCGCTCGTTATAAATCAGAAATAGCTTTTAAGCTTTTAAGCTTGYTGTAATAAACTAATTGAATAATGCCTTATGCACCTCCTGGCACGAAGAGAAATGATGATGATGAAACTAATTGAAGACTTGTCAAAAATGTTTACAAAATGAACAGATTGCAAATACTGGATGCTGTTTCTTCAGGCTACCTCAAAAGAAAAAAAAAACTCAAGAATCTTACCATCAGGATTAGTGAAGACAATGTTTTTACTATTAGCAGCAAGGAGATTAAGCTGACCCTCCATGATATTCTTCCATGATGGTGACAAYGAGTCTTCAAAGTCTGCCATGAATACATCAGCACCACTGTTCAGTGCATTTATGACCATCTTGCAGTCAGTTGGCCCAGTAATCTCAACATGGCGCAATTGAAGATCATGAGGAACTGGTGCAACCTTCCAGTCGTTGTTATCATGGTTGCCATCAGGATAAGTGATTTTCTTTCCAGCATTAATATCTCTCTGGATTTGCATTCTTTTCTTAAGAACTTGTTTTCTGGTATAGTTGAACCTACGATGAAGGTCAGCCAGAAACTCCAAGGCATCGTATGTTAGGATTTTTAGGTATTCATTCTTYAATTCACCAACAACCTCAACACCTGAATGTACATATTTTTACATTATCAAAGTGGCATAATTTGCTCAGACTTATATTCATGCAAGGAAGCGAAGGAAAAGCACAAAGTCACAGCTTTCTTTTTCTCCTTTGCATAAAACACTTGTCTATGATTAGCAAGCAAAGAAGAAAAACTCTCAGAGTCCTAGTACTGCATGCATTGTTGAATGTAGAGTAGTAAAATCAATATTTGAGTTAGCTAATTTAATTGGTTATGAAAGAATACAGGGCAATATCAAAAGATTGCACATGAAACTCCCCAGCAAACCATTTTGACAGCGAAAGATTTATTAAAGAACAAAAATGATTACGAGTTCAAATTTACAATGAAAAACATTTCTGTGACTACAGCGGAATATAATCATAAATGTGAGTCCTGCAYATCTATGGCGCATTTTGTTTTTGTGCACCTTTCTGTAAAATGCACTGGTTATACTGCACCACAATATACTGACATATATCAATAATATACCTTTTGGGCACTGCATCCTCATTTGAATGGTATCCTTTTAATTCCTGCTGTAATAATAATATCAAGATAGCACAATTTTGTTACTACCAATTATACAATTGCAAGAATCTTAATGATGATTGGACATGCAGGTACCAGGCCCTCCCCATAGATACAYATGTAACAGAAAGCAGTTCYCCTTGCTTTCTTCGTTATGCGTGTTYCAGTYCKTGGCATCATTGTGAAGTGCGCCGAAATAATAGTAGYTCATTTGTGCAAACGCTTTTACGTCTCACCAGAWTTCAAACTATAATTAATATTAACCAACTTCTTAATAAAAGTTCTCATATGGACAGTTTTGCAGAATACAAGTAAAGTAAGCATCAAAGTCTAAACTTTACCCGGGAACTTTATCAAAGCAGATTAAAGATTACTTATACACTTTGCTTTTGTTTGACAACTTGCAAAACTATACGTCTTTCTTTCTCGAGATACTAGTAAGTCAAAAGTACAAAATTAATAGTGTAAATTATTTGGCATTTTGCCAAGGCGCACATCGGCAAAAGTGTGTTTTCCAGGTCGAAAGTTGCACGTGCCAAATTGTCAATTTTGAGTTGGGAAATTTACGAGCAGTAAGCTTAAATTACATATCAATCAGTTCAAATAAGAAATTATAGTACTCAACTATACAAGTGCCTTGTGGATATAGGTCTAAACTCCCTGCTTGATCTACGTTCGTGTATTCCCTCAATTCAGGAAAATGTCTGAATTACAAAAAGCAGACTCGATTCCGTGCGTCCAAGATCAAAGTCCAGAAAACACAGGAACCCCTTATACTAATGCACAAGATAGGGTGTCAGACCGTGTGTCAAGTGTCCACTTTACCCAAACCACGTTTTGTTTCGTGTCTACAACTACAGAGAGCCTGCTCTATGAAAATGGATTCTTTTTCTTCGGTTTTCCTGATCACTATAATTCAAATTCTCCGTCGAATCACCCCATGTCCCAGCCCCTCTATACAAAAAATCATGGATGGAGGTCCACGGCTTTTTCACACACTCCGTTGGGCCGGAAGAAAATATTATCGTTGCTGACGGATTCATACTGAGAATTCTGCATTTCGATAAGTTCTTGTGTATTTACCCTGGCCTCTGCACTGTAAGATTGTGCAACATTTATACGCTGTATTTGCCATTTTCCAGTCCGTCGATTCTTCTTTGAACACGTTGTAGCTCAAGTAAACCAACAAGCCCACACTTATCGAGCATTTAAAGTAGTAGTAGAGGTGCGAGGTGCTTAACAAAAGTTTAGGGAAAATGTTGTTCGAACAGAATGGATTGTGATGCGTGCATAATAGAGAAAAATACCGAGTTAAACCCAGCGACAATGCTCCCAAACCTTCCCTGCATTCAACCCCAAACCCTCCTATACCTAACCCACACCGCNTCCAAGAAACGGCAAGCAATTCGCCTGTATTCCTAAGGATAAAATGGCTTCAAATTACACATATGAGAAAAGATGGGCTGGTATAAAAAGGAATTATGGTCCTGAAGAGGTAGAACGCCTTAGAGGAACTGTGAAGATTGAATACTCGCTTGCCAAGCGCGGGGCCGATCGGCTTTGGGAATATATAACAAGAGGAGGAGATAGCTATATAAATGCTCTTGGAGCAYTGACTGGTAAGCCAATCAAATATTTTATGTTTTGGTTTGTAAGAATTTATCCACTCTTCAATGATTTGAACTCTGTACCACATTTCAACGCAGAGAATCCTAATATGGAAGACGGGTGTCCCTAATATGGAACACCCATTCAACCAAATAAGGAACTTRGTTGATTTCAKATCGGACAAGGAAAAACCCGCGCTCATATTCAGTGATTTCGAAYGTTTGATCGAAGTTCTACTAAAGAACGATTGATTTTCTGGTCGAAATCTAAACTTCTCGGATTGATTGATCAGATTTGAAAGAATAAGACGTGGCAGGGAGCATAGAGCACAATTTTTTGTCACCAAAGCCATGATGCCGGGTTTAACACTCCGAGGACAATCCGGGGATAATAAAAAAAAATCAAACAAAAGCAAAATATTTCGCTTAATGTTCTTTCATTTATTGATTATATTAGGACATTTCGCTCCTTTATAAAACTCACAGCCAAAGAATGCTTGTAATGATGCAATAGCWAACTCTATTTCGTCAATCGACCCACTGATTTTTGGTAAGACTAGTTCAACGTGGCAAATTGGTCGCGAACGATCCGAGACCGACGTAGATCGACTAATAGATGTAAAATGTTCCTACATAGTAGAACGCATAAATAAAATAAAGTGACTTTTTTAGAATCTACACTTAAAACTCAAGTGAAATTCTCGCTTTTCCGGCGTTTTTCAATCTTTTGATGGTAAAGTTTGTTGGGTCAACTAAATGGACTTTGAACCTTATATTTGATCGAATGATTTTTGTCTAGTATCAGCAATTGATAGCGTACAAAGCCTTTCTGTTTGTAATGAAGATATTAAWATGAAGTACATAAAAAGCTTAGCATCTCTGAAATAAAACTTGAAACATCACACACTGCTGAATGTTTTGGCTGGAATCCGTAGCCTGCGTTCATCCGGTTGTGTTTACGTGAGTCCGTGAGTAAATTAACGCAGCATGAAACTCAGGCTAGACAGTCCCGAGGATTGACAAAAACCAATGGGGATTCCGTTTTTCTGATAARAATTTTGGTTGAACATGTTGAATGACTATTCTTACAATTGCTCAATTTGTGTCAATTTTCGAATAAATGGCTCGTTCAAATGTCAGTGCTGTTTAATATTTTCTATTATACGGTTGACAAACCCTGTCATTAATCAAAAGCTTCGTTTTCAATTAAGGTGGCCAAGCAATCCAGATGGCAAAGGCAGGTCTGAAAGCCATATACCTCAGTGGATGGCAAGTAGCTGCTGATGCAAATGATGCAGGMCAAACSTACCCTGAYCAAAGTCTATATCCAGCCCAYTCTGCTCCTAARTTAGTTCAGAGAATTAACAATGCTTTCATGCGTGCTGACCAAATATCCCACATGGAGGGAGATGATTCTACAGATTTTTTTCTTCCCATTGTTGCTGACTGTGAAGCTGGATTTGGTGGTCCACTGAATGCCTTTGAAATTACTAAAAACATGGTAAGATTTCTACCTACAAACAACAACAAAATTATAGGATTTTTTTCAGTTGATGAATGATGCTTTTGAATTACAATTTTTGACATTACTGTATTTTCAGATTGTTGCAGGAGCAGCTGGAGTTCATTTTGAGGACCAACTTGCATCAGAAAAGAAATGTGGACACATGGGAGGCAAAGTTCTTGTTCCCACAATGCAGTTCATCAAAGTCCTGAATGCTGTACGCCTTGCCTCTGATATCATGGATGTACCACTTGTAATCGTTGGAAGAACTGATGCCAATGCWGCAGCCCTTGTCACTTCAGACATCGATCCTTATGACAGGCCGTTTCTGACCGGMGAGAGAACWCCAGAGGGTTTCTTTAGGGCCAAAGCWGGTCTTGACCAGGCTATTGCTCGTGGCTTGGCTTATGCTCCTTACTGTGATGTCCTSTGGTGTGAAACAGGAAAACCAAATTTAGAAGAAGCAAGGAAATTTGCTAACGCAATCCACAGTAAATTCCCTGGAAAACCACTTGCATATAAYTGTTCTCCTTCTTTCAACTGGAAAGCAAACCTCTCYGATGATGAAATTGCTGTTTTCCAGAAGGAACTTGGTAGACTTGGCTACAGATTTCAGTTTGTAACACTTGCTGGTTTCCACAGTTTGAACCATGCWATGTTTAAACTTGCTCATGACTACAAACGCAGAGGCATGTCAGCATACACCCAGATCCAGGAAGATGAATTTAAACAGTCCAAAAATGGCTTTACYGCCCACAAACACCAACGTGAAGTTGGAACCAGCTACTTTGATTCYGTTGGAATGGCCATTAGTGGAGGCTTGAGTTCTACAAGTGCMATGAAAGGTTCYACAGAAGAAGAACAGTTTGTGGCAAGAAGCACCTTTGCAAGTCTCAAGTCAAGTCTTTGAGACAACAAGAAACTCAATAATTTAATGTTAATGTCAAAGACTGTAACCTATATGTAATATTTAGGAATAGTTGTAGCTAAAGTTAGAAATGATTACTAACTGTAACAGATTCCTTCAGACAAAAGGGTGGYGAGAAGCAATTYTGAACTGTGGTAATTAAATCCAWAAAAACCTMGGCAGACAAAACAAATTGGATGTTAGAAATCAGTGTAAATACTAATGACTTYRCAAAATGAAAGTTAGCTGGTAAAAAAATGTGGACTATATACTAGCCTTTCTACAAGCAATTTCTACTTTTGTTAGAAAACAATAATTTTTAAAATAACAAATTCTGTTGAGCCTGTATACAGACCATTATTTCCCTGGTAATAGCTGCGTTATAGGCAAGTTCTGTCTTGATTTATATTTTATTATARTCATGGCATAGTATACATGTACACTCACTGTTCAATGATTTAATAGCAACCACCGCCTATTGCCCTAAAACACTACTAAATAATATCAATGCTGGACATGTGATATGTTATCGCACAACAGGCAACTCTAGCAATATGCCAACCAAAATATATTCAGTGTTCAATCATTTTTCTGTTCCTTGTTGCTTTATAACTACTAAAAGTATWTATATTTATTAAAAATTTCTAYGTGTAGGTTGAGTAYAAATGAGCAGGAACTAYAATACCTTAATTCATAGYAATTTTTCTTGCAAATACTATTTGATTAATACACTTTCTTTGGTTGGCTTTAGTTTAAGTAGATGCACTCTTTAACTGTAGTTCATTATTTAGYATATTTTCTTTTTATTATCTATTGTATTTGTTGCAGAAGTTWTAATTTAATATTTGTTATAAAATATGTTTTGTTTTTGCTGAAATATTGGTTTGAATAAAATTTGATTTTYKTCATAAATATCATWYRA